TGCCATGAGATCATTAAGTCAATACTATTACTTCCCTATATATGAAGAAATCGAGACACAGGAGAATTAATTGATTAACCCAAACTCACCTATTGAGTGAGGGCTGGAGAAGGCACTCAATTCCAGGAAAACTGAGGCTAAAACTCACACACTTAACAATACACTATGTTATCTTAAAAATGATGTGATCAAACAGAATACAAATAATAATAGATACAAGGAGAGAATGAATAGATGATAGATTAATAGACTGATAGAGATAGAAGTATATAACTGTTCATAATGTTGTTATTTTTAGCAATACAGAGTTGGGAAAACATAGTCTCACTACAGAGAATTAGTTACAAATAACATCCACACCAAAGGCCTTCTATACAATTAGCAAGAAATGATGATACAAAAAGATAATTTTGTTAACATAGGAGCATATCTTTTATATATTTCTGCAAGGAAAATCAATGTTAAAAATATCATCTTATTTTTGTAAATATACACATTCTTCCCGAAAAAAATTCTGAAAGCTACTAATCAAACAACTAGCCAAACTGTTTTAAGATCTCCAGATCTCCAGATTATAAGATTGTTTATTTTGTTTTTGCTTTCTTGATTTTTATTTTTTTGTAGTAATCATAAACAACTATTGGGAAAAACTTTATAAATTCAATGATACACTACCTTAAGATCATTAAAATAAAAACCTGGCCTTTTAATATTTGTGAGATTTGACCAAATCATAATTAACTCAGAAATCGATTTCATACTTTAAAGGTTTTTGAAGAAAATAATTAAGCATCCAAGATCAGATATTAAAAGAAAAGTAAATTTTGAAAAAACATTAATAAGAATATTTTAAACTTGAAAGGAGAAATCAGTATATTTGAAAATAACATATAAAAGTGGCAAAATATAAAGTGTAAATGTAATATCTACGTCTTAGAAGAACCTGATTTAAAAAATACTACAGAAAATATTAGACATTTCAAGGAAAATATAAAATAAGAATATATATTATGGTGGTTAAGTTTGTGGGCACAGGTGTCAATTATGTGAGGTTGAATTCTAATATCAATATGTACGAGGCATGTGGTTTGGGGCAATTTACTTAGCCTAGTTTTTCCTCATCTGTGTAAACAGGGATACCACTAATATGTCTCTAATACTGCTATTTTGAGGATAAATTGAGATAATATAATCTTATTACTCATGCCAATAACTTATATAATCTTGAAATAATTGATTTTCTAGAAGTAAAATTAATTCAAAAGAAGAAGAAACTATCAAGAAGCAAATAGTCTACTTCTCAAAGATGAACTTATCTTGATAAACCTGTTTCTTAACATTTTGTTCACAATGACATCTTTCCCTTTGTCTAAATCTTAATTTAAACTTTATTTTTAAACTATTCTTTCAATATTTTTGGTAGGCTGAATAATGTCCCCCCCCTTCAAAAAAATCCATGTTCTAATTTCCAGAACTTGGGAATAGAACACCTTACATGGCAAAAGGTACTTTATAGATATGAGTAAGGTTAAGAACATCGAGGTAGAGAGAGTATCTTGAAGTATCCACGTGGACCCAATGTCGTCATATGAGTCCTTAAAAGTGGAAGACCATTTCCTTCTGGCTTCAGATGGAGATAAGAAGATAAAATACAGGTCAGAGAGAAATTTTTTACTGCTGAATTTGAAGAGAGAGAATAGAAAGTCAAGCAAAAGAATGTGGACACCCTGTGGAAACTGAAAAAGGCAAGGGAATGAATTTGCCCTCAGAGTTCCCAAAATGAAATGCAGCCCTGCAGACATCTTGATTTTAGCCTGGTGAGACCTGTGTGAGCCTTCAAAGCTATGTAACTATAAGATCATAAATTTGAGTTGTTTTAAGCTACTGCATTGGTAGTAACTTGTTACAGCAGCAACAGAAAATTAATGCAGTATTTTATTGTGATATTCAATTATAACCATGTACATGGTAGTGTCCCCCAGCTAATACAGACTGAGTCAGGCAGAGCATTCTACATCTCTATTTCTAACCTGTAGCAACTAGCATGTTGCTTTATATACAGATGGAAGTGCTTGGTATTTATTGATTTCACTCTCCTCTTCTGGTATTATCCTCTACAATTTATTTCTTCTCTGTATATCTAGTGAATCTCAAGTAATCAGGTTCATTTGGATAAATATCATTATGTTTTTAGTTATGGGGTTTGAAATTAGCACATGCACCCATAAGGGCAGAATCCCCAAGTCCTTTCAGAAATAGCTTCCCTTCATCCAGATTCTGCCATCTGAAATATTAATGCAACAATTATCTTTTATTCTAATCACAAGCATTTCCTCCTAATAACCCATGATTTCACTAGCTGCTTGCTTTAATTACTATATAGGCACTCATGCACCACAAAGGAAATAAGAATTTCCCTCAGACTATACCACTTCCTTCAGAGAAGTGTACTGCTGATTGATGTCAGAGCCATAATCAGTTACCATATTGGCTGGGTTCAAAAGATAGACTATTTATAGCAAAATAAATTATATGTATTTAACAAAAGAAAAGGAAGTGACAAGTAGAAAGAAAAGACAGTCATAAAGCTTTATAATGTGCTTACACAAATTTTAAAAAAAGGTATAAATATAGTCTTCACATTAATGCTACATATTTTTGAATAAAACAATCACTTATATAACATTTTTAAATTATTTTCAAGTTGTTTTTAAATAAAACAATTTAAAGATAGTTATTACATAGTATTGAACTTGTAATGTAATTATGAAATAATTTACTCAGCCTTTCAGCCAAAGCAAGAATCCATTCTCTAATTTTAATATATTGACCTACTCATTTAAGATATTTGTTATTTGTTTGCCTGTTTGGTTTTGACAATAATCCAAAAACCTGAAATATGAATGATCCTTAACAGATCAGACTGTGAAGTCGGAAAGTGAAGAAGTTCAGAAAATAATCATTGCTTTTACTTTCAACAAATGTCAACATAAACTGCAGGGATGGGAAAGCATAATGACAAGCATTATAGGTGTGGGAATGGTAATGAGACACTTGAGAATGTTTGAAGCAGTCAAGAGAGGCAAGTTCCACCTCTGTTATTTATTTGCTGTGTAACACAGAGAAGTCACTTATTCTCCGTTCACCTCAGTTTTGAAGTTTGAAGAAAATGCTAATGGAAGTGAAATAATCTTACAAATCAATTTCTTCTCTCTATAAGTGATCTCTCTAAAATATTTTCTCAGGTATTGAATTGGTATAGAAGAATTTAGTCTTCATCAAGATATATTGATTTATAGTACATATTTCTGTCCTTTTTAAAAATACATTCAAATTTTATTTTGGATTCAAAGGGCAGATTTTTTACATGGGTATATTGCATGATGCTGAAGTTGAAAGTATGATGCATCCCATCACCCAGGTAGAGACTACAGTACTTACTAGGTAGCTTTTCAGTTATTGAAAATCTCCCTCCTCTGTCTAGTGGTCTCCAGTATCTGTTGGTGCATTCATTATATCCATGAGTACTCAACGTTTAGCTCCCATTTATAAGTGAGAACATGTGGTATTTAGTTTTTTGTTCCTGTGTTAATTTACTTAGGAAAATGGCCTCTAGCTTCATTCATTTTGTTTGCAAAGGACAGGATTTCATTCTTTTTTATGGCTGTGCAATATTTCCTGGTGTATATGTACCACATTTCCTTTATCCAATCCACCATGACTCTTTGTCTTTATTATTGTGATAGTGCTCCAATGAACATAAATGTGCATTTTTTATAGTAAATAATTCATATTTATTTGGTATATACACCGTAGGGAGATTGCTGGGTCAAATGGTCATTGTATTTGTCCCTTTTCATAATTCTATAAAGAACTGCCTGAGACTTGGTAATTTATAAAGAAAAGAGATTTAATTTACACGCAGTTCTTCATTGCCAGAGAGGCCTCAGGAAATTTACAATCATGATGGCAGGGGAAGCAGGCATGAACTTCTTCACATGGCAGCAGGAAGATGCAAGAATAAGAAAAGGGGGGAAAGCCCCTTATAAAACCATCAGATTGGCTGGGCACAGTGGCTCACACCTGTAATACTAGCATTTTGGGAGGCCAAGACAGGTGGATCACCTGAGGTTAAGACCAGTCTGGACAACATGGTGTAACCCCATCTCTAGTAAAATTACAAAAATTAGCAGGATGTGGTTGCACATGCCTGTAGTTCCAGCTCTTCAGGAGGCTGAAGTAGGAGAATTTCTTGAAACCAGAAAGTGGAAACAGCAGTGAGCCAAAATTGTGCCACTGCACTCTAGCTGGCAATTGAGCAACACTCCATCTCAAAAAATAATAATAAACAATCAGATTTTGTGACAACTCACCCACTATCATGAGAACAGCATGGGGGAAACCATCCCCATGAACTAATCACTTCCCACAAAGTCCTGCCCTTGACATGTGCAGATTATGGGAATTACAATTCTAGATGAGATTTGGGTGGGGACACAAAGTTTAACCATATCAGTAGTTCTGTTTGAAACTCTTTAAGAAATCTCAAAACTGCTTTTTACAGTAGCTGAACTAACTTACATTTCAATCAACAGTGTATAAGCATTCCTTTTTCTTAGCAACTTCACCAGCAACTGTCGTTTCTTGGCTTTTTAGTAATAACCCTTTTGACTGGTGTGAGATGGTATCTCATTGTAGTTTTGATTTGCATTTCTCTGATGGTTAGGGATGTTTAGCATTTTTCATATGTTTGTTGGATGCTTGTATATCTGTCCATGTTTTTTGCCCATTTTTAATGAGGCTATTTGATGTTTGCTTGTTTTAAGTCCCTTATAGATTCTGGCATTTATTGAATCCACAGTTTTTAAATATTTTTTCCTGTTCTGTAGGTTGTCTGTTTACTCTGTTGATAATTTCTTTTGCTGTGAAGAAGTTCTTAAGTTTAATGAGGTCTCACTTGTCACACTTTTTGTTTCTGTTGCCATTGCCATGAGAACTTAAAAAACATGAAATGCCTCACAAATTTGCTTGTCATCCTTGGAGGGGGCCATGCTAAAATTCTCTGTATTATTCCAGTTTTAGTATACGTGTTGCCAAGAGGAGCATTTATTTCTGAATCATAAAAATATTTTTGCGGAAATTATGATGAGTCTAAGTTTCTTTTCAAAGAAATGCACTTTCTTTAAAATCAGCATTTAGAAATCCTAAATGTAACCTTTCGAAAACTTTCCAGAATTATATTGGTGAAAATAATCTTCAAAATTAATTATTCATTTTTTAAATATTATGAAAATCTAATTTATTTTGAATACAGGAGGTTCAACTTAAAAATAATCCATAAAATGTTAAATTGCTAATAACAGTTACAGTAAATTCAAGACATTTAGAATATTAGCTACCTTAAAAACTGGTCGAAACTTTACCAACATTTTTTTCATAAAGTTAAATTCATTTGTTTATTTCTTTTTTTTAAATTACACTTTAAGTTCTGGGGTACATGTGCAGAATGGGTAGGTTTGTTACATAGGTATACACGTGCCATGGTGGTTTGCTGCATTCATCCCCCACTTCACCAACATTAGATGTTTCTCCTAATGCTAGCCCTTCCCAATACCCCAAACTCCTGCTATCCCTCCCCTAGCCCCACATCCCCTGACAGGCCCTAGTATGTAATGTTCCCCTCCCAGTGTCCATGGGTTCTCATTGTTCAACAGCCACTTATGAGTGAGAACATGTGTTTGGTTTTCTGTTCTTCTACCAGTTTGCTGAGAATGATGGTTTCCAGCTTCATCCTTGTCACTGCAAAGGACATGAACTCATCCTTTCTTATGGTTGCATAGTATTTCATGGTGTATATGTGCCACATTTTCTTTATCCAGTCTATCATTGATAGGCATTTGGGTTGGTTCCAAGTCTTTGCTATTATAAACAGTGCCACAATAAACATATGTGTGCATGTGTCTTTATAGTTAAATATTTTATAGTCCTTTGGTTACATACCCAGCAATAGGATTGCTGGGTCAAACAGTATTTCTAGTTGTAGATCCTTGAGAAATCGCCACACTGTCTTCCACAATGGTTTAATTTACACTCTCACCAAGAGTGTAAAAGCATTCCTATTTCTCCACATCCTCTCCAGCATCTGTTGTATCCTGATTTTTTAATCAAGAGACATGCCATTCTAACCGGCATGAGATAGTATCTCAATGTGGTTTTGATTTGCATTTCTCTAATGACCAGTGATGATGATATTTTTTTCATATGTTTGTTGGCCTCATATATGCCTTCTTTTGAGAAGTGTCTGTTCATATTTTGCCCACTTTATGATGGGGTTGTTGCTTTTTTCTTGTTCATATTTTGCCCACTTTATGATGGGGTTGTTGCTTTTTTCTTGTAAATTTAAGTTCTCTGTAGATTCTGGTTATTAGCCCTTTGTCAGATGGGTTGATTGCAAAAATTTTTCCCATTGGTTGCCAGATCACTTTAATGTTTTATTTTTTTACTTTTTATTTTTTTGCTGTGCAGAAGCTCTTAAGTTTAATTAGATCCCATTTGTCTATTTTGGCTTTTGTTGCCATTGCTTTTGGTGTTTTAGTCATGAAGTCCTTGCCTATGCCTATGCCCTAAATGGCATTGCCTAAGTTTTCTTCTAGGGTTTTTATGGTATTAGGTCTTTTGTTTAAATCTTTAATTCATCTGGAGTTAATTTTTATATAAGGTATAAGGAAGGGTTCCAGTTTCAGCTTTCTGCACATGGCTAGCCAGATGTCCCAGCACCATTTATTAAATAGGGAATCCTTTCCCCATTGCTTATTTTTGTCAGGTTTGTCAAAGATCAATGGTTGTAGATGTGTCATGTTACTTCTGAGGCCTCTGTTCTGTTCCCATTGGTCTATATCTCTGTTTTGGTACCAGTACCATGCTGTTTTCATTACTGTAGCTTTATAGCATAGCTTGAAGTCAGGTACTGTGATGCCTCCAGCTTTTTTTTTTAATTAGGATTGTCTTGGCTATGTAGGCTCCCTTTTGGTTCCATATGAAGTTTAAGGTGTTTTTTTCTAATTGTATAAAGAAAGCCAATGGTAGCTTGATAGAGATAGCATTGAATCTATAAATTACTTTGGGCAGTATGGTCATTTTCTCAATATTGATTCTTCCTAACCAAAGTCTCAGGATACAAAATCAATGTGCAAAAATCACAAGCATTCCTGTATACCAATAACAGACAAACAGAGAGCCAAATCCTGATTGAACTCCCATTCACAACTGCTACAAAGGGAATAAAATACCTAGGAATACAACTAACAAGGGATGTGAAGGTTCTCTTCAAGGGGAACTACAAACCACTGCTCAGGGAAATGAGAGAGGACACAAACAAATGGAAAAACATTCCATTTGTTTATTTCTATACACTTGCTGAGAATAACTAGAAAAATCTGGAACAAAAAGCAAATCTGTTTTGTGATACCAAAGAACTCTCAAGACAGAGAGGAATTACAAGGCCAAAGTTTGGGGGAGAAGGGAAGACTATGGAAGGAAATTGAGCAGGTGAGGCCATACTATTCACAAGGGCAAATGCCAATTATAGAGGTTACTGAAAAGCTGAGAAGCCAAACAAAGCATTTGGCAGATTCATATACAGCAAAGACAAAAACTGTAGTCCAGCACCCACTAAGAATCAGAGGCTGTGGTAAACATCCTAGGTTTGGGTTCAGGACCAAAAAGTATTTTGTCTTCAGAGTAACAGGGAAATGAAAGTAGAGCACGTGGCATTAAAACTTATAACAGAAGAATGTAGAAGAAAGATAGTAATAAATATAAGAAGATCAATTAATAAAATAGAAAATAAGATACAATGGAGATGTGTCTACCATGCCAAAACCAAGGTTCTTTGAAAAAACAAATATGTTATTAAATCTCTAGTGAAATTTATCAAGACAAATAGGGACTTAACACAAATAATATTAAGAATAAAAGTGATGTAACACTATAGATTCTATAGACACCTAAAAGATCAAAAGATGATACTAGTAAAAATAAATTGGAAAATGTAGGTGAAATGAACATATTGATGTATAAAATTGCCATATGAGGCAAATGAAAAAAAAATCTGAATAGTCCACTAACTACTAAAAAATAAAAGTCAAATCTATAATTTAAACCCTTCTGCAAAGAAAATTCCAGGCACAGATAATTTTACCAGAAAATTTCATCAAATGTTTTACAAATAATACACATTGATTTATATATATTTACTCTCCCAGAGAATGGAAGAAAAGAAAACAACTTTAAACTTATATAATGAAACAAGCATAATTTTAATTTAAAACAAGGCAAGAATCTGAAAAATAAGGAAGAGAATAGATGTTATGAAATCTAAGTAAGAAGTTAGGAGCAAAAAAAGAGAATGGAAAGAGTGAAAGGGCCACTATATTGTTGGAGAAAATCTTTGCCTCAGAATAAATGATAGAGAACTTTTATAAATCAAGAAGAAAATCTGAGCCAGCTTAATAAAAAATAAAAGAGTCACTAGATTATCTAAATGGAAAATAAGCATTATAATGTCATTAGTAATAAGAGAAATACTACTGAAACAATAATGGAAACCACTGCACATAAACTAGAATTGTCAAAATTAACAGTCTGATAATATGAACTTCTGCTTTGGGAGAGAACATACTAGCTGATATTGGACTTAGTCTGTTGATGTAAATAACTATACAACTTCACAAAATATATAAGGCTTCTGTTTTCAGACACTGAGTAACAGGCAACATCAGAATGAGACCCTTGAGAAAAGGAAAACACATAATATGAACTCCATGTTATCCTTGGTTTTGTCTTGGGACACCTAAAACATGGCACAGGGCCATGAAGCACCATTAAGACTGGCAGTTTTTCTAGGCAGTAGAGGTAGAGTTTCCAGTTTGAAGATGTTAAACCAATTGGAATTTGCAGGGCAGAGTGTAGAAGAGGGATAAGCAGAAATCCACATGAGAGTTACCCTTGGGTTCTAGCTGAGGTATGGGTTGTGTGTACTCAAAGGGTAGAATCCATGAGGCATATCCAAAAAAAACTGTTAGAGCATTTGAAAGCCAAACAGGATTAAAAATATCATGCAGCATCTATCTGAAAATACTGGGGTTCACAATGTATGGAAACACTGGAGTTCTACTCAACCCAGAGTGATAGTCTGCACTGAGCACCTTGGACATTCAGTTGAGCCTCAAAAAATTCATGATTTAGGTGAAAGAGCCATATTCTAGAATTAAAGTCACAATTTAGAATTATGTTTTCCCTAGGAAAATCTAAAATCAACCCAAATGGGATAGAAAGAATTTAATTGTCATACAAAATTCAAAAAAACACAATATAAAATAGACTCCTTAAAATGTATGAATTGCAATGTCCAGCACACAATCAAAAGTTACTGAACTTATAAAAATTTAGATTTTAAACTCCTTGGTACTGTTCAAAGCTCAATGAGACTCTGTTCATTTTCTGAAATCAGTTTTCTCCTTATGCTTCAGTGTGAATAATTTATTTTCAAATGTACTAAATTTCATAGATATTTTCTTCTCTTGTACATAATGTACTGTTAAAGTTAACATGAGATAACTTATTTATATTTTCACATTTTAATTTATTCATATTTTTATTTCCATGTCTTACATTTGGTTCTGTTTTAGTTTCCTTATTGCTTCTGAAATTCTTCAGAAAGAAAGGACCTACATTCACTGAGGGTCTTTGTGCTTATAAATTCCATGTCAGAAAGTCAAAAATGCAAAGAGAGAAAAGAGAGAGAGAGAGAGCCCACAAGATGGGATCAAACTTTTCCATTTACTAGGAACCCACTCCTGTGATAACAAACCACTCCCATTATAGCAGCATTAATCCATTCATGACAGCCATGCCCCCATGATCCATGCTCATTTCTTTAAGCCCCACCTCCCACCACCTCCTCATTGGGAATTATGTTTTCAACACATGAACTTTGGGAGACACACTTAAGCTATAGCATATGGTGAAAAACATCAATGCACAGATCCAAGTAGTACAGCAAATGCTAAAATGAATACTAATTGTATAAAGAAAGCCATATAAGG